TTTTCTACCTACTTTCTAGGAAGTGCAAAGGTAGTCATTTTCCTCCACATTCCAAAGCTCTACGAGAGCCAGGAGCTTGGCTGGCTATATCGTCTACAAAAGGTGACTCATTCAGGGCACTTTGTATTGGCTGCTCATTTATCTGGCATGTGTATTCTGAGGACCTCACCCGTCACTGCCAAGGGCAGTGAATCCGCTCTAGCAGATGCACAGAGGCTGCCTTCAGTGGTTAATGAGACCCTGCTGTCTCCTGCTCCTTCCTACCATGCCACTCACAAAGCCTCGTCCTGGCGGCTTTCAGACCAAGGCCCATCCTTGGGGGGTGTGTGACGTGGCAGAATGACATTTCTGCTGTCACCTCTGCCTCTTGGAGTGAAAATAGACATCTGGCAGACATTTGGAGAAAGGTCTTGTAGAGAGTGACACATAGTTGAAGGGGGTTTTTAGGGGGAGAAAGAGTCCCATTTCTTCTTTCTCAGAAAAGACTTGACAAGGTGATGTCTGAATGGATGTCCCTGAGTGCCTGCCCATTCTCTCACTTCCTGGTAGAGTTGCTTTCTTCCACCTCTCCGATTCCCCTTATTTATTTTAGAGCTCCTGAAGAGAGATATAAAAACGCAGGGACTCTGCTATTCACTGGCATGAACTTCAAATACCTTAAGAAAGCATGCACCTGTTTACGCTGATGGCGTGATACTCTCTGTCTGATCCTGTTGGACACCAACATCATGATTTGCATCTATAAGGTTATCAACAAATGTCTGATGAATAAAGGTATAATCAATATAGTTCCAATGCCACGTCTACACTTATGGTCTGTTATGCTAATCTTCTGGAATAAGCTATTTAATATCTTTATTATCAGTGATCTTGGAGATTTAGAAGGGCACTCCAATTGAGTTGATACTTTATCTAATCATATAATAGATAACAAATAAAGAACCTGAAGGGCTTTGAGGAAGGAATGTCAGTGGGCAACGCCTAACACTTTGTTCTCCATCAGTTACAACTTTGGAAGGATGCCATCATTACATCCATTACTTACAGGTGCCAGGAAGTATGTAAGCTGAAAAGAGCCCCGTGTTCTTGCCATGAGGAGAATGTGGAACAGGAAGGTAGAGCTAATACGTCAGGGCAGCTGAAATGTGTGATTTCAGAATGGAAGTAGTTCAGGTGTTGGCAGCTCTACGCTCTCCGTCACAAATGCTGTGCTGTTCTAACAGCCGTCCACAATGTACAAGTGGGTGGGTGGAGCTTTTTCTCCCAATGAAACGTTTTTATGAACAAGTAAATTAGAATTTTATAAAACTTCCACAAAACAAAGCTATCATTATTTTGATTTTACCTGCTTATTTGCTTTTGCCCACCATTTATTCTCAGGCCCCATGGAACTGGTGGTAGGCTGCATTTGAGCCAGAGGGCATGCTCTGCAAACTCTGTTCTGGGACCCCAAGCAGAATGAATACATAACAGCCTATTCAGGACCCAATTGTCTTACTGTCCTAAGTCTTTTTGGCCATTCAAAGTCAGTTTGATAAGTATCAGGGGCCTCAGGTGAGGGGGGAAAGGAACTGCACCTCAATAGTACAGGCTTTCTGCAGCCATCCTACCCAGCGGCACCCTGGGCAGGCTGCAAGCCTCAGCCTCAGGTCAGCCACACACTTCTGGTGCTCTGATCCTGTGTACTTGGGATCAGGTACTGTGAACTTGGCACAAAAGATCTGCTCTTTCACAGCAGGATTTGTCCACATTCAGGAGATCTCTCCACCCCTTCATTTTCTTTCTCCAAGTCTGTGTATCTCTCTCTCTCCATCTCTCTGATTTTCTCTCTGCCAGGGACCCATACAAAGGAGGAAAAAGGAATTGACTTGTCGGGGACCCTTTTGGTTCTAGAAAAGGTCTAAAACTGCTCTGAATGAGCAAGGCAGCTTCTTACATATACCTCTATGACCTTACTACACACACACACACACACACACACACACACACACCCAACAAAGTAATTTTGGTTTAAAGCTGTCTCATTAAGAAGTAAGTATCTTTCAGCTTCAATTTATTATGGCATAAAATACTGATTTTCTTTGGCTCATTAGAGATTATGTCTCCAACCCAAAATTTCACGAATGTCGATCCATGGTGCTTTTTCCATAAATTCTCCCTAAACCACTGTTTCCCTCAGGTCATAAAATGTTTATTTTCTTTTGGTCATTCTGAATGTTTGTTTGTTTCATTTTTGCAGAAAGCCCCATGAGTTTTGTTGTAAACTCAATTGCAGTGATTCAGAAGTAGAATGCAGTCCTGATGACTAAACCTTGAGAAATGGATATTTCATTTGTGCGTAACACAGAGAAGGAAATGAAGCAGGGGAACAAGGACAGTGGGGTTTACGAAAGCAGTTTATACACAGGTCAGAATGAGGAACCCTCTGCACAGCTGTTCATTCAACCTGGATAGAGTGGTATCCTTACTGCTTAGACTTGACATCTTAGTAAAAAGAAAAAATAGTGATTTGCGAACCATTTGCTTTGGATAAAGCCCTACTTATTCCTTCCCAGGATCTTAAACTTTACAACTCTGCTTCTCAATGGGTTGTAAGGATCAGAACGACTTGCGGAAAAATTTTCAAACTATATGGCATTCTATGGGTCCCTGTTTTGGTAAATCAGTACCTTCAAATCAGAAATTATCAGGGACACATCTGTAGTTGGACCATCTGGGTTACCATTCACCGCAGTGAGCGAGACTACAGCATGGAGAGCCACTGGGTTTTGCAGTCAGAGGGACTTCAAAGGTGTCTCTTACCGGCTGTGGATTTTGTTTGGGTGATTTTGGGGAGGGGTCAACGTAGCAGGGTTTGAAGCTACGATGGATGTGGTCAGAAAGCAGAGGTGATTCTCCAATAAGGTTATCTCGATAAACCTGATCAACGGGGGAGGCTAGGAGGAGAGTCAGTCTGTAAGTGGTGAGGAAGGACACCAGCAGATACTTCCTTTTGCCCAACACAGGAGGTGTTGGGTGCTTTGGGGATGGGATAGCAACCTTGTGCTTTCACCAGTGCTCAGACATGGTTCGAAGTGGCCTTGTTTTGTTGCATTTTATCCTGGCCTCCGAGTAATCTCGTCTGAGGTCGTTATTCTATAAGATTGTTTATTCGTAATGGAGGATAATGACCCAGCATTGAGTGCCTGGCTGGCTTCTGAATGTCAAGGGCGGTTTGTTTCTCTTTTTAAATATTTACCCTCTGCTCTCCTCTCTAGCAAAACTGTCCTGGCTACTACATTTTAATAGCATGGCAGGTTTCCAGGTTTTTATTACAAGACAGTTTAAATGTACAGAAAACGTTAATAATATAATGATCATCATGTATCCATTAAGCAACTTAAGTAATAAAAGATTATAGATAAAAGTATCTTGGTATTTCTTTCAAATCCTAATTCCTCCTGGGAGGGAACTGTTATCTTGAATTCGATGTTTAATATTCTCAAGTACAATGTATTTTCATTTCTTTTTAAAAATAGACCTATGATATTTTATGGTCTCCTTTCCTTCCTGGAATGACGTAAGATCTAACATCAGTACACGCTGTTTTCATTTACTAATTCTGCCTACTTTTAAGTAGGCACAAAAGCACCAAACTGCACGAGGAATCACAAAACACCCTATATATCACCCAGCATCACAGGATGTGATATTATATAAGTAGTTAAACATTATAAATGAATTTTAATCACCGCATCAAGCACATGCGGTTTTCCAAATGGCCTACAGTAACTCTAATTGCAGGGGCTATTTGTTGGTTTAATTTAGCAAGATGTTGGTGAATTTTTCCTCTTCCCTCCAGACTCTTAAACACTTTTGATACAAAAGGAGCTGCATCGGTTGGAAACTCGTATTTTAATTTCAGACCATTTTAATTTTATGACACAAAGGTTTGGCTCCTACTTGCAAATAGCACCAAAGAAAGCAATATTGTCAAAATCACTGGCCTGGAATAGCCAGAGATGAGTTTGCAGAACTGAATACACGACTCCCATTACCTTTTACCTTACATTTCTGTATAAGCGTTAATTAAACCCATCAGCACCTTATTTCTTAGAGTCGAACATTTTTCCTCTGACAAGAAATGTCAACTGATGGAATGTGTGGCCCATGGGACCTGCCATTAAAACACCCTCACTGTCACCCAGAGAAAAGCTGATGCACTCGGACAGGTGGATGGGCAGAGGGGGACACAGGCACAGTTGCCACCTTTCCTTGCCCTTGCTGTCTGAGGCTACGGTGATGGGACTGTCTCTTGCCCCACTGAGGTTTCCAAAGAAGCTGTATTCAATACGATGCATTGCATGTCCTGTCACCTGGCATTACTTGGTACATTTAGAAGAAGAGTGGAACATTGCTGTGGTCTTCTGAGGTCTTTTGTAGACCTTCATGTACAACACGGGTTCAGAAATTAAGCTTCAGATGTCTTAGTCTGTTTGGGCTGCTGTAACAAACATACTGTAAGCTGGGTAGCTTAAGAGCACATATGTAAATGTGCTGTTACAAACAGCACATTTGCGTCTCACCGTTTGGGAGACTGGAAAGTCCAAGGTCATGACACTGGCAGATTCAGTGTCTGGTAGAAGCTTGCTCCCTGGTTTACAAATGGTACCTTTTCGCTGGGAGAAGGGAGGCATCAGTTAGCTCTTTGGGGTCTCCTATAAGGCACTAATCCCGTCCATGACCTAACCACCACCCAAAGGCTCTGGCTTCTAATGGTGTCACCCGTGGGATTCAGATTTCCATGTAAGAATGAGGGGTGCGCGGACGCTAACAGCAGACCCTGGCATCAGGTTCCACGACAGTCCAGGACGTTTGGAATGAGGGACCTCCTCTGTACACTGAGGCACAGAGAAGGTCCAGGAGGGGTTGATGGGACAGGCACCCCAGGACTGGAGGAAATGTTGGAGAATCCCCTGAAATCCTAACCTCTCTTCCTGACATCTGTCTTCTCCTCACAGGGGAGCACTTGAGAATCTGCCCTCAAGAATACACCTGCTGCACCACGGAGATGGAAGACAAGCTGAGCCAGCAGAGCAAACTGGAGTTTGAGAACCTGGTGGAGGAGACGAGTCACTTTGTGCGCACCACCTTTGTGTCCAGGCACAAGAAGTTTGACGGTAGGTGGGGCGGCTCCCGCCGTGCTCTGGTCTCTGGGTGCGTTGCCACAAGAATCTCCATCTCCTGTGGGAAAATGTTATTTTAAGCAGGAGTTTTTCCTTCCCTCTTAAACATTTGTGACATTTTCTACATTATTTACTTCTATTGTGTTTTCTCACCCCATGGGCTCTTCTAGCTCCGCCCACCGTCTACCCTCACCCCGCAATCATCACTCTGTTGTACGTGTCCATGAGTTCTTCCTTTCTCTCTTTTTTCTTCTTTGCTCAAAAACAAACAAACAAAAAATCCAAACGGGAGCTTTCTTGATGGTTTTGATCGCGATGGCTTGGGAACACCCAAGTTGAAGAACAGTTTTGCATTTGTGGTTGGCCTGTGAGACTTATTCTGAAAGATTTAAGCTCAATGTTGTGTTATGAGAGTGATTCTAATTCAGGTTTTGTTCTACCGTGGCTTCTCTTCCCTTTTCATGTGGGCATTTTTTCTTTAATACAGTTCAATGCCATTTAAAATTATTTGAAATGCAACAACACTTTGAAGAAGACAGGCAAGGTTTAAATACCAGGGGCATGGTCTTTATTTCAGAGTTCATCCTTCGGATAAGGCAGCTGCGTTCTCCATTATGGCTGCAGTGCTTTCTTCGCAAGGTTTAACCCCTCCATTGATTTCCTGATTAAACGCCATCGACTTCATTTCTATATTCTGTTTGTTAAATAAACCTCTTGTATTAGAGGTACAAAGTGTGACTTCAATTATGACTACAATTTCAGCACTGAATTTTCTCATCAGAGCCTCAGAAATCTATTTGAAAGCAACCCGATTTTTATAACCTGAATTAATAAGGATAAAGTTAATATTCTTAAGTGGTGCGTAGCCTTAAGGAATGAATGTGCCCCACTATGACTCCTTGTAAACCAGACTTACAAACTGTGGCGAACCTTGCTTGTACCTTAGTCCTTCATGTTCTTAGTCGCCCCGCGGCAACAGAACTGCCCTTCACGTTCTTCCCCCTCTCCAGTCCGTGCACAACAGAGCCAGTGTGGAAAAGGTTTGCCAAAGTTTTCCTTTCTCTTTTTTGTTTTCCTCTCTAGTAGGTAAAAGGTTCTGCTTCATTGCTCCTTTAAACGAGTGTAAACACAGCACTTTCTTTCAAATCAGTCCTCCAAGTTCTAAAAGGTAGGCCGGCCTGGTGGTGTTTTCAGTGCTCATTCACGCTGAGGTGAAATTTTCCGTGTAAGCCAATGGGACTTCTATTTCCAGCAAGTATTTTTCAGCATCATCCCGTTCTTCCTCTGCCTCTCACTCGGTGTTTAACTCTATTACCTGGATGTGCATGAAAATGATTCCCTGTTTTGAAGTGGTACTGTGAATGTCGTCCCCTTGAATGCACCTAGGGAGCCCCTGGGAGTCACCCTTGATTGACAGATTACAAATCCAGTGGCATCCAGCAGCCTCTGAAGGGGCTCTGTGTTTGAGGGACAATGATGTATCACTTCACAGTAAGGCGAGTTGAGACACTGTAACTTTTGTTACAGAAAGCTGGTGAGTGGGACCTGCGCTGCTGACTTCTGGACCATGTCCTTGGAAAACAACTCGAGTGCTTTTATAAAACTGCATTTTACAATTAAGGGGAAATAATTCCAGGGCAGGTTCGATGGTACATAATACATATTATTTTTAATAATATTAGACATAAGGTAGCTTTATGGGAAGTTTTTAAAAAAAACAACGAGTAAAAAAGGTCGTCGACAAGACTGAGCCAGAAACTTTTTGTATCCTCATATCAATAACTATTAATATCTTTGAATTTACAATTCTTAATCCCACATCTCATTCATCTTACTGAAGAAATCTCTTTTGCTCCCTCCCCTCCCCCTCCCCGACTTCTTTGCTTGCCTTCCTCCCTCCCCCCTCTGTTTACAGGTGTGTTTTAAATTATGCTGTTGTGCTTAGGGGTATTACGTCAATCAGTTTGACAGGACATTGACTTTTGCTAAGACTAGATTGGACATAGAGGGTGATGAATTCTTCAGTAACAGTGCACTTCATTGCCATTACAGTAGGCTGGAATGGGGGAGAAATTTAGCTTTTCTTCCAAGGAAGCTTTTAGCCCAGACTTTTAAAAAGTTCTAAATGAGATCCTGATGAACTCAACTTGTGAAAAGCTCAGGCTTAAAAAAAATTTATAAAAACATGTAAATGAAAAAGTCACCATTAGAGTTTCTGCCCTTTCTTTTGGCAATTTCATGAAGGTCAAGTGTGCAATTGTGTGAATTATCTTCTTATCCCTGGAAAGCGATGCTGCTAAGTCATGTTTCAGGAATGATGGTGCATTCATGCAGGTAGCTTTTCATTTTTTCTCTTGGCTTTAAAAAAAGACTTCCTCATGGCATTTATTGATGAGTATCAGATAGTATTAAGTGCAGATGATCAATCTAGGATCAGTTATACAATGTGACCCTCCCAGCCTTACTTTCCCTGATAAAACCAGTGGTGCTCTGAAGGGCTTTGGATTTTATTTTCCTGAGGTGACTTTGCAGGAACACCCTCTAGGGATAAGAAGATAGATACATAAGTCATTTCTGTTCTGTGAATCATTTTGCGTGATTCCTGGGGTCTCTTCGTCCAAATCGTCCATTTTGCGTTTCTGCCTCTGGTCCCATTTTCTGGATTTTGCATGCCTGTATTGGTTATGTTTTTCAATAATATGAATGATGACTATATTATATGAGAGTGACCACTTTCCAGCATATTTTCATTATGTACAATGACCTTATCCAGCCTACTATTTATTCCCTCCAGTGCATTCTTCATTTCACATATGGTACTTCATTTCCAAAAGGTCCTTTTTTTACAGTTTCTATGTCTTTTTTCATGGTCTTTAGCATCCTTAGAAGCATTACTTTGAACTCTACATCTTACAAATTACTTGCCTCCATTTCATTTGGTTCCTCCCTTGGAGATTTCCCTTGTTCTTTCATTTGGGGCTTGTTTCTTTGTCTTTGCACTTTGGCTGCTTTTCTGCGTTTGTTTCTATGCAGTAGATAGATTTGCTGTGACTTCAGGGCTCTGTGGGGTGGCCTCTGCATAGGTGTCCTGAAGGGTCCAACGGTGCAGTCTTCTTGATCACCTGAGTTGGGTGCTCCAGGAATGTCCCTGGTTTGGATTATGTGCACCCTCCTGTTGGAACTGAGTGTTGATTTCTATTAGCCACTCTGACATGGCGATGACCCTCAGGCTGGCTGACTGTGAGGCTCAGCTCCTACCACAGAGTCCGGGCTGCTGTGTAGGTGCTGACCACACTTAGAGGAATTCGCTGCAGCAGGGTTTGGTGCCTGCCAAGATCTCTCTTTGGAGATGCTGTTTGTGAAGCATATTGGATCCTGCTCTGATGTTGTCTGAATCTGGTCATTGAGGGTGTTGGTTCTGCTCCTCTTGTAAGGGACTGTGGTGCAGGCCAGTGTCAGATGCCACCTGTGACTGCCCCTGGGTAAACTGGAGCTGCAAATGGCCCACTTTTTGTGGTTCCCTCTGCTGGGCCCGGGTACATGCGGGAAGGACCGGGCTGTGCATCGATGCTGGTTTTTCCAGTATCAACGTGAGGAACAGGTCAGCAAAAGCCCCAAGGTGCCCAGACTAGATCTGTCCCCCGCCTGTCTCCACCTGCTTCTGCCTGAAGGCTGCCCTGCTAGGCTCACTCCCTGGAAGCCCCTCTGGGTGTACTTCTCCGTAGAGCCTGACCTCCACAAGGTGGAGTATCGCTTTTTGATGCTGCACAAAGTTGATTGCTCAAGAAACAGTATCAGTGGTCCAGGAGGGTGACTCAGCACAGGGATGTTGGTGGCTGTCCCTTCAGCTTCCTCCCCAGAGCCACACCCTAGACTCTCCTCACACACCTCTAATCTTTTCTGTCCTCCATCTGCTAGCGCCTGGGTGCATAGCTGTAAACAAAATTGTGTGCCTTGGACCTTTAAGAAGGTGCCTGTATCTCTGGTGGCCCCTTGCCTCTCCCTGGTAGACTCATGCCTCTCTGATGCTATGCGGGCACCTCTTCCTGGCTCTGGTACTCTGGGCTGGGGGTGCCTGGCTTGGGGTAGCGTCCTTATGCATTTCTGGGGGAACCTTTGCAGCTGAGATATCCCACCAGAACCACGGCCACTGCCTGTGGGGACAGGGCCAGCCCTTTGCATGTCTCCGCCCTTCCTGACAGTCTCAGTGTGGCTACTTCTATAATTTTTTGGCTATAACAGTTCTCTTCCACTAGTCTTCAGTTGGTTATTCAGGATGACTTCTCTGTAAGTGAATTGTGATTCCAGTTTTGTCCTGGGAAGAGGTGAGTGTAGCTTCCTCCAACTTCACCACAGCCCTGGATCTCCGCACAGGTGACTTAAATTTTGACTTTCCAAAACATTTAGCATAACGTAGCATTGTACTTATGGTTCTTTTCCAGTTTCTATGAATATATTTGGTAATATTTAGAAGATCACACTGTATAAAATTGTAAATATTCATTGGGTGTTTGGAAGCTGAACCTGAATTAATATGAATTCTTCTCTACTCCCCTAAATGGCCATGCTTTGCTCCACACACCCACTAGCCTAAAATATGTAGCTGAGACACAATACATTTGAAAACATTTGCATCGGAAGACGATTGGAAAAAGTATATAATACCAATTGCAGAAATTTTCACGCTTGCACAAAGAAATTCCTTATTCCTCAACAGCTAGATTTTTTTTTCCTTTTTAAATGTGGGATGGAAATGTTAGAATGCTTGCATATAAAATAAAGGCTTCTATTCTCAGTAGTGTTGCTTTTCTGCAAGTTTTTTTGCATGGTTTTTTTTTCCTCTGGCCAAGTCTCCACCTCTGGTTTTCATCACATTCCCTGCAGCGCGTCACCCTCTGGCCAGGGTGTGACCACCACCCAGGTTCCCTCAGAATTGTGCAGCAGCGAAGCTTTCCATTTGTTCGCTCTCCAACCCTGACCTTCTGTCACACCAC